GCTGGAAACTAGCGACCTCTCCTGGTTGGAGATAGTATTAACATCATAAACTGAAAGCAATCTTTACGTGACTTGCTTTTCAAATGTTTTAAAATTGATCATCCGAGTCTAATATGATCCAGCGGGCTGTACTAAAAGACACTACGGGCCGTATACCAGTTGCCCATCCCTGATCTAGATCATTTAAATATATTGTTATATTATATTATTAAATCTTTGCTACTAATGCTGGTCAGCATATCATACCAATAAATAAAAAGAACAATGCAGATAATTATATTCATTATAATCAGTCTAAAGGAAATGCAGTTTCATTTTTTTTTTTTTCTAAATTTTTAGGGGAAATGGGATGTTCAAGGGGAGAAAATCTTAGTCTTAGTCAAAAATCTTAGTCAAAAAATAAGTTAAACAGTCTTTCAACTAATAGAGCCCTCATGACATCCAACCCTCTGCTGGTTTAAATCAGGCAACAGGAAGTAAGTGTGTGTGTGTGTAGCATGAGGTTAGTGGGGTCAATGATTCACGGTCGCTCCGAAAAAAGGAAAATGATCCATCATGTCTTCAGAAAAGACTCCACATTAATCATAAATGATAATCACACATACATGAACAAAGATCTCCCATACACATAATATTCTTGTACAGATAACAAAAAGCATCCAAAAATGTGTAACAACCATCATCAACCATCAGCTAACTGCTGCTGTCCAATAATACCAGATCTGTGCATGCAGTATTCACTCAAGCAACATCACTCATTTCTTTATCCATTCATTCATTCACACACGTATATAAGGTTTAGGTGGGTGAAAGGGCTACCAGGAGAAAAACAAACCCTCACATAACTAAAACAAAATCAGATACTCTTCCAAATATTTGCCCTGTCACTAGATTCCTTGCTGCTCGCAGTCACTCACTCTACTACAGTTCCCACTGGACACTGGAATGAAATCCCCAGTCTTCACACTCAACAGACTCACTCAAGGTAAGACAGTTAGTGTGTGGTTGTGAGTCGGTACAGTGCCCTCTTTGTGTAAAATACTGTCACATCATATTGAGAACGAGCTGCTGGAATACTGTGGCTTTATAGTTTGCCAAAAACCTCCAGACAGCTAACGGTGCAACATCTCTACTAAGACCACCTCCACATACCTCCAACTCTCAATTTCCCTCCATATTTCTGAGAGTATGTAGGTGAATCTCACAAAAATGTCCAGGTTATATTTCACCATAAACTCTTAATTGTCATGAAAGCAATGCTATGCTTTGTAAAAAGTGAAGAGTTACTAGGCCATTAGTATAATATAATGCATGAATGCCATTAAATGTATAATATAATATAATATAATATAATATAATATAATATAATATAATATAATATAATATAATATAATATAATATAATATAATATAATATAATATAATATAATATAAATGCATGAATGCCATAAAATTAAAGTAACAAATGCAAAAACGTTTTATTTGCATTTTTCAAAAAAATATTTTTTGAATTTTATTTTGTGGTGAGATATGACCCAGATTTTATTTCAGACACATTTTCATAACATATGATCATATTTACAATCCAATTTCAAGCATCAACAATGCCAGTTACAAAACATTACCAGTTTGGTACTACTAAAAAATTAATACTAAACACTAAGATTACACTAAACAGAAACAGACCTGAACCTCTAAACTTACTGTAAATGTAATTTCTTTAACTTTTCTCTAAAAGCATTAATGGTCACATGATAACAATAATACAAGTTGACAACAATGACTGACATACCTTTCAGTGTTAAAAATCCATTAGATGTTTAATTTGCCAAAACACAGGTGAGATCCTGTGGAAAATACACACTCTCTGATGTGTTTGTTTGCATTAGCGTGTGAGGTTATGAATATGTTTTGCATGTGTTTCTCTAGTGCTGGAGTATATTCTCTGTCTCTACTCTTCTGTGTGTGAGTGGCTGAAGTTTGCGCTGGACTGTTTGGTGAAGAGGGAGGAGGCTAAACCAACCACCCCCTTCCCCAAAACACACACACACACACTCACATAAACACAACCCCCACCCCATGAACAAGAGAGCCTGGAGGGGTTTTGGGAGAAGGGCAGCACATGAGGGGAAGAAAGAGGGGGATGAGAAAGAGAGAAGTAACAGGAAAGAAAGCTAAGAGGAGAGTTAATACTAAATTGATGACAGATTCAATGTCTTGAGTCTGACATTTGAAAGGTAAAAGAGCTGATAATTTTTAAAGGAAGTATGGCTGTAAATGTCATTTATTAACATTTTTTATATACATTATACATTTGTTTCTATATATATTTACATTTAATTATAAAGAGATAAATTAATGAAAATTAAAGAGGGATTATATATATATATATAAAATGTAAAATAAATCAATAAATGATATTATATTATATTAAGTCAAGAATTCGAATTCAAATTCGAAAAATGACTGAAAAAAAATCAATAACCCAAATCAGGCTTGATTTTATCTATGCTAAAGATAATTCATCTTCTTTTTTTCTGGTGAAATCTGGGTGATATATCAAGGAATAAATTTTTTTTCAATCAATAAAAATCTTTAAAAATTAAAACATTAAATTCAAATACAAAACTACAGCCAATAAAAAATATAATGATAGTTTAAAAATTATTTTTAAAAAATCCCGAAAACATGAATATGAGAAAATCAGACAATCTTCTAATTGAATTCACACTTTAAAACTATGAAATGTGTGCGAGCGTGTGTGTGTGTTTCTATGTAAACAAGACCTGATGATATAAAGTGTTCATGATCTGACAGCTACTGTATAATGTGTGTTTGGAGACGAACACCAAGGTCTTAGCATGTGTTTTCTAACCTGCTAAAGCAAAACCATTGTATTTGTGAACAAAAACCAACATAACTGCGTAAATACCAAACAAACTAAAAGCTATAAATGCCTTCAGACTAGCTACCCTTATGAAAAAGAAGTTTATTCAAGTGTGCTATTAGTATACTTCTTTTAAACTAAAAAATAGGAAAGTATACTTTCAGTGTACTTTTTATGTACTTCTCAGAAATGTACTTAAAATGACATTTAAGTATACTTGACTTATACTTAGAAAAAGTCTAAATATATATCAAGCTATACTTGTGCTCCGGGAATCCATGTTTTTATTGTTATACGGTAAGGGGCACTATTACACATCTTCTGTACAGAAACAAGCCAAGAAGAAACCGAAACAACAGATGCTTCCACGTGTAATCTAAAACGATCATCAGAAATAAAACATCATCAAAACTGTGTAACGTTATGGAATAAAATGTCAGCTCATGAAGAGGTAATGACTGGCAAGCTTTGGGGTGTTGATCGACTCCATCTATATTTTGATTATCACTCTGAAACCTAGGGCTGCACGATAAATCGAAATGGAATCGAGATCGTGATTCGTCAGAAGCTGCGATTGTCATGCGTATCTTTCAGTGAAGCACGGTTCTGTGATCAGCAGTAAATCGCCATCCGAAGGCCAGAGGGCGCTCTCGTGCTGAAACTCCAAATACGCCTCACAGAAGAAACCCAGAAAATGCCTATCGCTGCAGCTGAATAAACAGAAGATTCAACTGCTTTCATTGATTCAACGTGACTAATAAACACACGACTACGGCAATATACGGTTTATCTGAGTTCTTATTATTATAATTTTCATTAAAATAAAGTATATTTATAATGCAATGCCTGTATCACTGCTTAAATACTATGAAATATGTTGCGTGCCTTATTCTGTGTAAGAAGCCACATCATCTCACAGAAGGATTTATTTCAAACACACGACTGACGTTATGAAGTGAGTTTGGAGTAAAAATATGTTATTAAATGTGGTATTTTCACATGCTTTCAGATGGAGCAGCATTTACTTCACAGAGCCGTAGTTCACTGAGAAGCTATGCAAACAGCT